TCAGGATGATTAGAAAATAACTTCATTTAAAAGTTAACAAATGAACTGTATACACTTTAACTGTGCAAATTGTATGGTATCCTATATAATAAAAGCCTAATATGCAAATCGACCAAATGGCAGAATGACCGGTGGAAGGACCGGTCGCTATGACACGCACTGACCACCAAGGGGCAGACACTCAATGCAGGAGCTACTCCCAGCCCACAGGCCTCAGGCCAACCAAGGCAGGTGCCAGCGGGGGCTCCCTGATCATCCTTCCAGTTGCCCCGCAGAGGGAGGCAACCAGAGGCAGCGGTGGGGGGCGGGGCTGGCGAGTGGGTGGTGCCAGGCTGGCCAAGGCGGGTGCCAGCGGGGGCCCCCCAATTGCCCCACAGATTGACCCTAATCGCCAGCCAGGCCTAGGGACCCTACCCATGCACAAATTTCGTGCACCGGCCTCTAGTATCTCAATAAAGCCTTAAAAAAGTTAACGGAATTTCCATCTTGCTATTATATTGGTTTCATTTAGTCAAATACTCTGAGGGGGGAAATGAGCACTTCAGTGGTTATTATATTACTACTCAGAGGACTAAAATTTTGCTAAAATGAAAATACTAATTGCACCAGCCATTTTCAAAACTAAATTTATAACCAAACCTTGTGATTTTTCCCCCCTGAAAACCTTTGCTATTCAAATGACAACCTATAAAGGTAGTCTGAGCCACATAAAGTTTTGCTTCTAAAGAGAACAGAAAGAAAGATCTCTACCTCCACCAGGACAAAGAACTAGAAGGACATAACAAAAGTTTCCCTGAACAAACATTGCTCAAAAAACCAAGAGACCAACCACAGCAGAAATTCTTAACTTGAATAAACAACAGAGATAGCAGCAGAGAACAAATGGCTAGAAGCTATTGTGGGCTCAACACACAACCAATAGCTTCCAGTTTATATAAACCTGGGTTTTGAAATCTTGGATAGAACTCAAACTACAAATTGCATGAAAAAGACTTACTGTTTTCAAGGTGAGATTACCTCTAAAGCAAGTTAAGAAGGCAAGTTTCTCCATAACATTAGTATGAATATAAAGATATGTTTTATTTTTCTGATTTTTAAATTTTTCAATTACAGGTGACACACCATATTATATTAACCTCATGTGTACAACATAGTGATTAGACATTTATATAACGTACGAAGTAATCACCCCAATAAGTCTTGTACCCATCTGACACCATATACAATTATTACAGTATTATTGACTATATTCCCTATGCTGTACTTTACATCTCCATAACTGTTTTTATAACTAGAAATTTGATTTGTTTTAAAATATATTTTTTTTATTGGAAGAGAGGAAGGGAGAGAGAGATAGAAACATCAATGATGAGAATCATTAATTGGCTGCCTCCTGCATGCCCCCTACTGGGGATCGAGCCCACAACCTGGGCATGTCCCTGACCGAAATCAAACCATGACTTCCTGGTTATTAGGTCAACACTCAACCACTGAGCCACGCAGAATGGGCTGATTATTTTTTGTTTTGTTTTGTTTTGTTTTTTTGTTAATCCTCACCCGAGGATATTTTTCCATTGATTTTTAGGGAGAGTAGAAGAGAGAGGGAAAGACAGAGAGAAACATCAATTGGTTGCCTCCTGCATGAGCCCCAACCAGGGCCCAGGCCAGGGAGGAGCGTGCAACCAGGATACCTGCCCTTGACCGGAATCGAACCTGGGACCCTTTGGTCCACGGACTGACGCTCTATCCACTGAGCCAAACTGCCTAGGGCAAGGGCTGATTATTTTTTAATTAAAAAAAAAAGAAAACACTTCCCATTTAAATTCTTAACATATAAGATGTGTAACTATTGTCTTCAAACTGAATTGCTTTTCATGGGAACAAACATCGATTTTTTCCTAAAGTCGATGAGATCTTTGATCTAAATTGCAGAAAATCACTTCATAACCAACTTTGTAATTTGGCACTTAAATCCAAAGAGTGTTTTTCAAAATGGTACACAAGGAAAAAGAAGTTTTATAAAGCTTCTCTCATACTCCTACTTAAGTTAATCCTTTTTAACTCACAAGGAATTATTATAAGAGTAATACAAACAAATTCTTAAGTAACTATTAGGAATCAGTAAAACTCCTTTCATTAAGGGATGAAATATGTGAATATAATTTTAATGCAAAATTAGCTGTCTTTATTTCATTTGAGATAGAATGAACAAAAGGGTCATCTCAAAATAATTATTAGGAAACTAGAGGCCAGGTGCACTGGCCTGTGGGGATGGGCTGAAACTGGCTCTCCGACATCCCCCAAGGGGTCCCGCATTGCAAGAGGGCGCAGGCCAGGCCAAGGGACCCCACCAGTGCACGATCGGGGCCAGGGAGGGACCATGGGAGGGCTCCAAGGCATGTCTGGCCGTCTCACCCAGTCCCAATTGGCTGGACCCCAGCAGCAAGCTAACCTACAAGTCAGAGTGTCTGCCCCCTGGTGGTCAGTGTGTGTCATAGCGACCGGTTGAACGAACAGTCAGACACTTAGCATATTAGGCTTTTATTATATAAGATACTTTTGAAAAATAAAAAGATTTTTCTATTAATTTTAGGGGGAAAATAGGCTAACTGACATATGCTTAACTTTGACTTTAATTAAGGATAATCAAAATTATCAATTGTACTATAGCAGGAGACCACTATAACAGCAACTATTATACTATTAACTTTGAAGTAATTGTACTATTTCATTTACGAACTAAAGTAAGAGTTTAAAAATGCCAGGTATGTACAGGATAATAATATACAAACTATACATATATTCATTCAATATTTGAAAACCTTCTACATTCAGGAAGCTGGTCATTTTTGCCCCTTTTTCTTGTAAAAGAATGATACCTGGGAATTGAGAATTCTGTACACCAAGAATGGTCATTATTCATATATTAAACACAAATATGCATATGTGTTTAATTTAGTGCCTACCACAAGTAGATAGGTGTTAACACATGCATTTTATGGTAGCATGGTAGTTACAGATAACGTGGTTAACTTCAGCAGACATCTGTGTTACACAATGGCCATCAAAATAATTGTGGCATGCTTTTGTGACACTAAAAGAGGCCAAGCCTGTTGCAAAATGATTACTTTCAACAAAAACCTGTTTAAATTATTATTTATTTAAATGGCATCTATCCAACATAACAGCATTATAAAGTTGCTATTACATTTGAATCACTCACCAATCTTCAACCTATTTGTAAAGCAAGGTAAACACCATCAGGTTATAAAAAGTAATTATGGACCAGGATTTTTGATTCATGTTTCTTTGACAAAATTATTCCATTTGATCCCAAGTCTTGACTGCTCTCTTGACAGAATAATGTACATGCTCCACAGCTGACAGGAGTATGCTTTCATGATTAAACAGGAAGCTCACACTCCAGATGACTTTAGACTTTGCACTTCAGAAAGATTTCTTTGTTATTTCAGCATCAGATCATTAGTTATTTTTTTCTAATCGTTTCTATCCCCAAGCCAAAGAGAATCTATGTATTACCAAACATTTAAGATGTGTTTGTCATTTCTGCCTATTTTATTTGCGCAGTACACCAAAGAATGTCACATAATCTTATAAGGTAAGTTCTTTTACTGATTTCACTTGGAGAGAGGAGGTGTTTTGGAACATAAAGAAAAGTTGAAAATATAAAATGAAGACCTTCTCCTCCCCCAAAGTATTTTATTGACCTCCAAGGGATATAGCGAATGAGAATATAACTGACTTTTGCTTATTATAATTACTGGGGACACAATATTCAAAACAATTGTCTAAAGGAAAGGGTTAACTTTATCTTGTGGCTTTAACTGGTCATTTTTGCCCCTTTTTCTTGTAAAAGAATGACACCTGGGAACTGAGAATTCTGTACCCCAAGAATGGTCATATCAAAGCTGACGCTTCTGGCCAGGAGCAGTGACTGTAAAGCACATAGAGCTATGTAAAAGCCGAATCACATAAGGAAATGCCCAGGGCCAGCGCCGTGAGGATTAACTGCTGAGATGACAAGACTAGGAAAGGACACTGGCCAGCCTGAATCTGATTTCTCAGACGCCCAGCTCTACTGGGGAGGAGGAGGGAGCCGCTTCCCTTCACCAGACTGGCTGCTGAGTTATCTGAAATGCCTGCGACCTAAAAGTGCAGGAGAAAAGAAAACAAAACAAACCGCTCCCCCATTCCGACCACCTCTTGGCAGTAACATCGTTGCTAGGGCAAAAACGAGGGCACGCAGACGCCTCGGTCAGGTAGTCATCTCTATGAGATAAGAACCCAGCAAAATTAAGGAAGTGGGTCTCTGCAGTCTCCCAGCCTTTTTGTTTGGGTTCTCTAGGTTAACAGTAGTAACTGCATGTCAACGACCTACACGCAGAAGCAGTTATTACCGAGTCGCTCTGAGAAACGTCTACTTCAATGTGGGGAGCCGGTTCGCTTGCGGAGAGGGAAATTATTTTCTGTCCAAACGTAGCAATACCGAACTACACGGCCAGGCCACACAATCACAACCGCCCAAGAAATGTGTTTCAACGCGTGAACTCTTTTACTTCCCCAAAGATACTATCAAGGAAAGGCCGAGGGAGAGCGTGCCTTCGACACTGTGTGCAGCCCATACATTCAATTCTGCGACTCCTTGGGAGCTGCAGGGGAGTCCCTAGAATCTATGCTCTGGGAGGAAACCGGTGTTGCGAAGATTTCTGGCCTCAGTTGCAGGACCGTGGATTGCAGCTGAGAGTTGGTGCGTGGGCTATCCTCTGAGACATCAAACTTCCTTTCCTTTACGAAGGGACTCAAACTTAACCCACACTGGCACGTCCGCCCTCCACCTGCGCGCGGGGGGCAGCTGAGGCTCCTTCCCACCGCGCGGAGAGGCAGTCGCCGCCGCGACCCGGGACAACCCTCACGAAGCCGGGGACCCCCGAGCCCGCCCGGCTGCCAAACCCCCGAACACGCCCCCTTCCTGTGCCTACCTTGATGCCCTGCTGCTGGGTGGTGAGGGTTAACTTGGATTCATCCAGGAGCAAAACTTCGCAGTAAAATTCTTCCGGAACAGCGCAGAAACAGCCCATGTCGGCGGCGGCGGTCTCCGGCCGGGCGAGAAAGCTGCGACCCGAGCGCTGAGCCGCCCCCTCCCCTCAAGCACGAGGCATTAGTTTATTGTCCGCGCCGTGGCGAGGGCAACAGGAGCAGCTCTCGGCGAGGTCCAGCGCCGCGCGGGCGGGCGGCTAGGAGGGCGGAGAAGCCCGGAGATCAGCGCCCGGGAGTAGCCGGGGAAGCGCCAGCGGAACTGGGTGCGGAGGGCGGCGGCGCGTCCCCGCGCATCCTGCGGCTCCGGCTCCGGCTCCTCCGAGGGCGGGGACGCCGCGGCCCCTCCCGCAGTCCTGGGGACGACAGAAGTCTCCTGGCAATGGGGGCAAGGGGCAAGATAAGGGAGGGCCGAGAGCTCGAGGCCCTCCCCGGACTTGGAAGCTCCTAGAAGCTCCAAAGACCCCTCCACCCGCGCACCACCCGAGCGCGGCCGCGACGCACCGACCTCCCCCGAGCCTGCGGGGTCCCCAGAGGGTGCGCACTTCCAGCTCCGATCCCACCCCGCAACTCCCAGTCCGGTCCGCGGACGGGGAGCGCTAGGCTGTTCCTTTGTGTCAGGGGGCACCCACGACGTCCCAGCAACATTGCAGGGGCAGTGGCCAGGATCGTCCCTTCCCCAATCCGCCGGCACCGAGAAGCCCAAAGACGGTCGGAAAGGGCGGCGGGTTCCTACCGAGACCGTGAGTAGAGGTCAGCTCGTCGCGCAGTGTGGCTTCAGTCTGGGGAGCCCCGAGCTCATCTCGGAGGACCGTGTAGGGCCAAGTTCAAGCTCTCCCTTCGAGAATGCCCTGCGCCGCGGCGGAGGGCTGCTTCCCCGGGAGGTTCAGAGAAGCGGGCAGTCGAAGGACATTGCCTCCAGGCCCCCAGGCTGGGAATGCGGTGGGCGGG